AAATGACCAATTTACAACTTGCATCGATTTCATTAATTCAATCCTATCACGAACATTTATGACAACATATTATTATAATATATAAGGTTTAAAACGGCGTTAAATGACCCTGAGATGTAGCTCCTAAAATCTCAAGCCTTTTCGACACCTAGCCCCGAAACCTCAAAAAATTCTCAAAAAGCGTGTATATTAGCCTTCAATTTTGGAATTATTTGAATTTTTTTTGTCCGAAAATAAAAATTACCAAAATGTTTACCATGGTCCCTAATACCCTCCAAGAGTCCAATTGGGTGGGTGGAACCATCCAATTTGCCTTAAAACGACCAATTTACTAGTCTACAACTTGCACCGATTTCATTAACTCAAACCTATCACGAACATTTATAACAACCTATAATGATCATTTATGGTTTAAAACAGTATCATATGACCCCTATATGTATCCCCTAAAATCTCAAAGTTTTTCGACACCGGGCCCCAAAACCTAAAATTTTTCTCAAAAAGCATGGATATTAGCCTTCAATTTTGAAAATTTTTAACTTTTTTCGCCCGCAAATTAAAATTGCCGAAATTAAATGTTTACCATAGGCTCTAATACCCTCCCGTAGTCCAATTCAATTTGACTCAAAACGGCCGATTTGCCGGTTTACAACTTGCACCGATTTCATTAACTCAAGCCTACCATGAACATTTATGACAACATATAATTATCATAAATGGTTCCAAATGACATTATATGACCCCGAGATATATTCCCTAAAATTTCAAGTCTTTTCGACACCAAGTGCCGGAACCTCCAAAATTTCTCAAAAAACGTGGATATTAGCCTTCAATTTTTGAATTTTTTGACATTTTTTCGCCGATAAATAAAAATTGTCGAAGTGTTTATCATGGTCCCTAATACCTTATGGGAGTCCAATTGTGTGGGTGGAACAATCTAATTTGCCTTTAAACGACCTATTTACCGGTTTACAACTTGCACCGATTTCATTAACTGAATTCTACTACGAACATTTATGACAACAAATAATGATCATATATGGTTCCATGCAGCATTATATGACCCCGAGATGTATCCCCTAAAGTTTTAAGACTTTTCGACACCGGGTCACGAAACCTCCAAAATTTCTCAAAAAACATGGATTGTCTTCAATTTTGGAATTTTTTGACTTTTTTTCGCCCGAAAATAAAATTGCCGAAATGTTTTTCATGGTACCTAATACCATCTAGGAGTCCAATTGGGTTGGTGGAACCATCTAATTTGCCTTTAAACGGCCAATATAATTACCGGTTTACAACTAGCACAGATTTCATTAAGTCAAGCCTACTACGAACATTTATAACAACATATAATGGTCATACATGGTTCCAAACGACATTATATGACCCCAAAATGTATCCCATTAAATATTAATACTTTTCTACATCGGGCCCCGAAACCTCCAAAATTTCTCAAAAAGCGTGGATTAATAGCCTTCAATTTTGAAACTTTTTTATTTTTTTTCGCCCGAAATTAAAAATTGCTGAAATGTTTACCATGGTCCCTAATACCCTCCGGAAGTCCAATTGGGTGGGTAGAACTATCAAATTTGCCTTTAAACGACCAAATTATTGGTTTGCAAACTTGTACCGATTTCATTAATTCAAGCCTACCACGAACATTTATGACAATAAATAATGATCATATATGGTTCCAAATGGCATTATATGACCCCGAGATATATCCCATAGAATTTCAAGTCTTTTCGACACCGGGCCCCGAACCTCCAAAATTTCTCAAAAAACGTGGATATTAGCCTTCAATTTTTGAATTTTTTTATTATTTTTCGCCCGTAAATAAAATTTTTCAAAATTTTTATCATGGTCCCTAATACCTTCCAGGAGTCCAATTGTGTGGGTAGAACTATTCAATGTGCCTTTAAACGACCTATTTATCAGTTTACAACTTGCACCGATTTACCGGTTTACATCGGCCAATTTAATTAACTTGCACCGAACCCGACTTGAACCGAAATTGACCCAAACCCGTTTTAACCCGCCAAAACCCGAATTTAACCCGACTTGTTACTAACCTGACCCTGAATTCAACCCGACCCGTTCCTAACCCGACCCGAATTTAACCCAATCTGTTACAAACCCGACCCGAAATCAACCTGACTTGTTATTAACCTGACCCAAATTCAACCCGACCCGAATTTTACCATATTACTTACCCAACTAAAAAATTCAACTCGATCTGTTACTAACCCGACTCGAAATTAACACGACTTGTTATTGACTCAACCTAAATTCAACCCAAATTGTTCCTGACCCGATTTTAAATCACCTTAAATGCAATTTAGACCACCTTATTATTGTTGATTAAAGCATTTTGTCTAGGGAGACCAAGCCGGTCCAGACAGCAAAAGAAAGGAGCATCATCCTCAAATTTAAGAGTTAAATATAGTATATATTTGTTGTATTGTCAAAATGAGATAATTATCTACCTAAATTATAAATTATAGTTCCCTAGTATATTGCCATATATATTATAGGCAAAGGAAATAATTAGCTTGATAAAAATGATAATTATCTATTTATTGTTAGTTGAACCCGAATATGACCTGACTTGAAAATGATCCGACCTGATTGTAACCTGCAAATCATTGACTTGAACATAACCCGACTTGAACCTGAGAATGACCCGACTTGGAAATGACCCAACCTGATTATAAACCGCAAATTATTGACTTAAACCGAACCTGACTTGAACTCGAGAATGACCCGACTTGAAAATGACCCGACCTAATTATAATCCGCAAATTATTGACTTGAACCGAACTCGACTCAAACCTGAGAATAACCCGACCTGATTCTAACCCGCAAATTATTGACTTGAACCGAACCCGACTCGAACCCGTTTTAACCTGTGAAAGCCCAAATTAAACCTGACCTATTGTTCACCCGACCTAAACCTGACCCAAAACCGATAAGAAGTATGACCCGACGTGACCCGACTCAAGCATGACCCAACCCAAACCCGACCCGCATAGGTTATGGAATTAATCTGAGTTGACCCGACCCGCTCTTACCCTACCCGTACCCGACCCGTTTACCCGAATTGACAGCTCTACGGGTGACCATCAAAATCCTCAGCCATCTTCCTTATCTGAATTAATCATCCATTATTGTAGAATTCAGAAATAAGGATGTTGTATAATCTTTTAGTTCCTTTTATTTTATTTTATTTTATTTTTATTTATTTAATTTTTTTTTTTTGACAAAGAGATCTATTAATTAAAAAAACAAGATTACAACCTAAGCTAAGTAAAAGAAAATAAAACACCACACATACACTAAACTCTAACTCATACAAACTAAACTGAAACAAAACAAACACTGGTAAAATGTGGCTTTTGCACCTGATGGAGGCCTGATTGTTGGACAAAATCCACGAAAGGCAGTGGTAAAACCTGTCAAAACAAACGACACTTGTGGTATGCCTTGACATTGACCCATAATACCTGCACTGAAGAAGAAGATAGTGTAGAGGCTGGGGTAGAAACCTTAAAATGGAACCAAAGGACACCAATAAAGCTTGACAAAACATGGGAAAAGCAAAGAGAACGAAAATCCATGGCCTGATTGAGAGAAACTTTTGAGCAAGACTTGATGCTCACAATATGAGCAATCCCAATGACCTATAGTCAAGTGGGATTCTTGGCTCATTACTAAAACTTGAGTCACATTTTCTTGTGACTCAGTACCCATTTGAAAGGGTACAGTTGGTCTATCCTCCTTGAATGGGATAAGACACAACTTTATTAGAGCGCTATGAACCTCCAAACATTGTGTAAGGGGAGTCTCCTTCAGATAGAAATTTTTAAAAGCAATGACTTCAGAGATCATTGCAAACTGACAAAGAGAATAACCTTTCCTTGTTAATTCCCTCACGACCCTCATACACTCAATCAAAGACCAAGAAACATAAAGATGCGTTCTTCCACAAACCACTACTATAACACTACGTCACTACCCATAAACACCCTGCATTCTAAACCCTGCAAATCTGCAAAGTGAAATAGGCTAAAACCCTTTCCCAAAAATCTAACCCTATAGAGGAAAAAACATAAACATCCCAACCCCAAAACCACAAACAGAAATAAATCCTGTGAAGTAAACCAAAGGACAAGCACCTGCCAAGTCCGAACAGCAAAACCCGAACTAGCTCCCTTCGCTCCTGTACCCACCAACATTCCTTATTTGAATGTTGGTCTTAGATTTAACGCTCCAACAGTCACAAGTTATGCCACTATCAGTCACAGCACTACAGCAATAATATCTTCCCTGCAATAACTAAGATCCGGTGGTTATGAATCCGATATGTTCCAATCGGTTTGATCAAGCAGATCAAGTCCTTTTCCAATTAGTGAAACCATGAAAGTAGATCTTTTGCCGGAAGTCCATCCTCTGATTTATAGCAAACCTAAAATCTCAAATTGCTAACCAGTCCTTGATCACACAATACAGAGTGACACTTCAATGTGCATATTCAATTACCAAGTTCATATGATCCCTACAAGAAATTATTTCATCATCCTCTCTCACCTCCATCAGCAGTTCATGAGCTTCACTCGAATTACATTTCTTGCAAACAACTTCAGAACATAAATTAAATTTCACTCAATTAATTTTGACCCCAAATTTTTCCGTTTATAAAACATCACTCGACCTTATCAAGCTCCTCTCAAACGTGCATCCACCATGACGCGTATGGTTGCTATATCACCACCAATCGCACTTGAGAACATCTTATTATTCAATTACTTGCTGAGCAATACAGAGTACTATTGCAAGAACTGACATTATTGCAATTATAGTCTAATTTGCTCAATACTTCGTATGACTTACTTCAAAGAGTTGCTGAATAACAAAGATGATAAAATTCAGTTAATATAGGTAAATAAATAAAAATAAAAAAGTAAATAAATCAAAATTTTATTTAGAGATGGAGCAAGTAATTGGCTTTAACATGTCCAAAATTATTGAAAAGTATTACTCCAAAAAATACATGGAATGTATCCAACAAATCTAACAGTAGAAAAATTATTTAAAAAAAAAAAAAAAAAAAAAAAAAAAAAAACACATCACATTTGACAGAAACTAATAATCAAAGCAATTTCTTAAATGCAGTGATTCATGGATCTTGTAGAAAGGTATATGTTGATAACCTGCACGGCAGCTCATAACCTATCCACCATTAATCAGCAGTGATTACAAAAAGAAATTACAAAAAAAAAAAGTGAAATCTATCAATCTAAGCAGAAAGAAATTGTTCTGAATCACAGGTAATCATCTGCTCTATCTTTTTCTTTTTCTTTTTCCTATTCTTTTTCCTCTGAGGAAGAGCTATTAGCGGTGAAATTTCATCGTTTCCTTCTAGTTTCTGATAACCTTCAACTATGGAATTCATAATATGTTGGCTAGGATACAATCCTGTATCAAGAAGTTCACAACAAAATATCAACGCAAATTTCATCCGTCCTCTACGGCATGCACCCCTGATAATTAGCTCATATGCAGGAACTTCCAGTTTGTAACCCTTGTTTACCTTCTCCCTTACCATTCTCACAACACAATCAAAGTGTGTGCTTTTGCACAACATGTCAATTTGATCTTTCTTCAACATATTCTCCTGATTAATTCCCTTTTCTCCCATCTCAGCTTTGACAGATGATGCAGATTCCATGTTACCTTCTTTGATAAATCCTTCGATAATAAAATTGTAAGTTGAGAAAGATGGGATGAAATTTCCAACTGCTGTGAAATTCTCCAGCATCTTCCTCGCCTCAGAAGTTTGACCATTGAGGCACAATCCATGAATGATGGTGTTGTATGTGTAAGCCCCACAAACAATCGCTCGGTTCATCATCTCATCAAACACTTTGAGGGCTTGTTCCACTTCGCCCTTCTTGAAATGCCCCCACATTATGGCAGTAAAGGTGGCAGCATTGGGTCTAAGCTTCTTGCCAACCATATCCTCTGAATTACCAGCATTCCTTTTCTTTTTAGAACCAAAATATTGATCAGACATTACAGTTGGTAAGCTTTCGGTTTCCAGTATCCTATCCCACAACTGCCGAGCTTCATCAACCTTACCCTCAAAACAGAGCCATGTCATCAGAAACCTGTACCGGAAATAGTTGATAGAACCAGATTCCACAGCAATTTTGAGGCGTTCATAAGCTTCATCCCATAATTGAACATCCAAGAGCCCTTTGATTAATGAAAAGGATGTAATGGTTCCTGGATAAAAGCCCTTTTTAATCATTAGGTTGAACACCTCCATTGCTCTCTCCATATCACTCTTATTAATGTATCCATTGAATAACAACAAGTAGGTAACCTTATGAAAAGAAAGTTCATCCTCAATGCTTTTTTTTAACAAACTCCAAGCACTCTCGAAATCACCCAATTCACAATACCCCTTTATCAAGCTAGTCATAACATTCACACCCACCGGTATATCACACGAAACCATCTCATCCCTGATCCTCAGAGCTTCCTCCATGTTCCTTTCCTTCACACACGCGACTATAACATTCGCGAAGGTAGAAGCAGAGGGCACATATTTCTTAACTCTCATCTCCTTTAACAGCTCATAAGCTGCATTCATATCAGGTTTCATAGAAACAGCTCCAATAACACAATTATATAAATTTGCACCTAATACATACCCCAAATCCTTAAACATCCTAAACAATTGCTCGGCTTCCTCGAACTTTTTTTTCACAACACTGTATTTTATCAGCTCAATAGGGGTATTGACATCTTTAGTTACCCCATTTGAAATCATCTTATTAAGCAACTCCTCAACTAACTGCAAACGACCCTTTTTCAGCAACACTCTCAATAGAAAATTTGCAAATTGTGGTTTTAAATCAACACCAAAATACTCAACCATAGCATTAAAACAAACAAGTGCATCATCTATTCTACGAGTTTGAACATATTTATGAATTAACAACTCAAAAGTTGAAGGTTTTATACAATAATCGAACCTCTCGGCGGTTTCCACCAGACCTTGCACGACAATGGCAGCATCTTCGGGGAATTTCTGACTTGCAATCAACTCAACCATATTCTTCCTCCCAAAATTAAAACCAGCATCTGCCAGAATTTGAAGTAAAACACAAAAAGCTTGAAATCCAGAATCAAACCCAGGTATTTTCTGAACCCAATTGTAGTAATTTAAGGCATTCATAGGCTTAACTTGTTTGATCACTAAAGCGCTGATTACTTGCGATTGAGTAAGAGTCTCGGGATCTTGACGAATTCGTAAAAAGGGTTTTGGTAAATTTGCAGAATCAAGATCATTTGAGTCATTTGAGATTGAAGAATCTGAAATGGGTTCTTGGGATTTTTGGGGATTTGAAAAGGGAAGAAGGGTTTTCAGTTTAGAGTGTAGAATTGAAGTGAGAGAGGTTGAAGATGAACAGAAATGTTTATTGGTAGTTGAAGATTGGAGAAGCAATGAAGAAATTGAGAGAGATTTTTTCAAAGATTTCATTTTCCAGTGAACTCTCCCAATCGCAGCAACCATGGGAGCGACTTGTGCGAAAGATAGCCGAAAGTAAAACCCTATTTCACTAGTTTTTTTATTTTTATTTTTTTTAAGCTAATTTCACTACTTGTTCACTTGCACGGAAAAGCCAAAACAAAAGTCCCAAATGAATTGGCAAAAAATAGTACACATTTGATTGGTTGATTAATTGAATCGGTATAAAACTTTCATAGTGGCATTTAAATTGCAAAAAAAAGGTATGCATTCGATTAGTCGATTAATCAAATCGGTATAAATTTAACGTTTTGTCTTGTTGAAATTTAAGTTGTTAATTGTGATTTGTATGAAATTATTCTTTATTACTTGGATGAGACATTTAAGGTGCAAGTTAAATATTATTTATTTTTTTAAAAAAAAAAAAAAATTTGTTTCCTTTGTTATTATATATTCTCTTTTGTATTGGATTCCTATTTGTTCTAACCTAGAAATAAAATGGGAGGCATAACTCTCTACTCTATAAATGAAGCTACAAGCTACATGTGTGGGTGTGTGGAGCCATAAGGGCAGATGATGAGAATCGATCCAAAAACCCCTGAAAATCGGAACAGAAGCTCTAACCACTTGAGCTATCCTTCACTCTCACTATCATAATAATTTGACTTAGGTGTTTGCTTCATATATATATATATATATATATATATATATATATATATATAAGGAGGTAGAATCAAAATTCGCAATCAAAGGATTGTGGTTAGTATTGAGGGTATGTGTATGATAGGTCACAAATTCAGAACTCTCTATCTCATTTGTAATTTACAAAAAAATTAATGTCTTGTAATTCATTTGCACAAAAGTAAATAAATAAATAAAAATCACAAAAGATGAAGGAGAAGGAGAGAAATAGAACAATGAAGTAGAATGGTTTCTCACTAATTAATTTCCCAAGATTTACAATCCTAACTATTATAATATAAAATGAGAAAGTTTGTTTTCTCAAAAAAAAAAAAAATGAGAAAGTTTGTCGTTGAGATAAACGGATTCATTTATCTCGGTGGCAATACTGTAAACATTACTACATTCTAATTATTTGTTTCAAAAAAAATATCATCTTTGTCTTCCTCCTCCCTCGATCGTGAATTCATGATTTACCATCATGGTTTCTTCCTCCTCTTTCCTTCCTTCCTTCCACACCCAACTAATTACCTTCGTTCATCTTCTTCTTTCTCCTCCAATCCAACTCCCACCTTCACCTTCTTTGTTTCCTTCTTTTAACTATTCCCTTAGGGTTTTTTTTTTCCTCCTTGGGGTATTCTTTAGCAATTTGTTGGATTTGGTGTTCTCCATTGAAACAACTTAACCCTAAAGGAAAGGTGATTGTCGTTTAATTGTGATTTTTGTCCTTTATTGATTTCACCATTGACGGTGCTCATGAGCTTTATCTTCTTGCTCCAATCTCTATTGAAGTGGCTACGAAGCTTTTTTTCTTGAACATGGCAAATGGCCTTATTTTAAAGTTAAAATGACTAAAACACTCGGTAATATATTTTCAAGGTTATCACAGTGAGAAACTTAGATTTCCCCATATGAAATAGAGTTAAATGACCCTTGAACCTAAACCGTTGTAATTTTAATAATGTGACAAAGAGATGTTCAGTATTACACTTTTCAATGCACAAATTTGACCATGAGTAAAAAATAAAGAACAAAATAACATTTTGTCCAAATTCCACCAGCTACAACATGTTTTAAATACCCTTTTTATATAATTATTTTATTCCTTTATTATTTTTTCTAATCTCCTTTTTTATTATCTTAATTTGTATTATTAGCTTTGGTTTTTAAGAGTTCTATGATTCATACGTATGATGTCCTTTGTATTAGAAGAATAGACAAAATGACATACTAATTTATATTGGAAAAAAAGTTAACTCAAAAAATCAAACTTTATATGGAGTAAGAAGTGAAGTGAACAACAATACAGTAAAACATTTTAACACAACTTTGAAATTACAAACATCTACCAACTATCATTTACATTGTACACTTTTCTGCGCAAGACTTGCAGATTTGCAGCAGGTAATTACAATAATATCTAACCAGCATTATCTAATAATCATTTTCTGGCGTAGAGAGAATCATATAAAGCCTGTAACACCTTCAGCTAATAGAGTATAGGATATTACCAGGCCAAACAGAAACGTCGTTTACCACCAGAAGAAACCTGAAACAAGTACACTTCATTTCATCAGCCTGTAATCGAGTATATTCACATAATTAAGAATACTAGTAAAGCATAGTACCACTACAGTCTAAAATAGCCAAATCCATACATTGTTGGAAAGATATGGAAGGAAAATGGGAGAGTTCCTTTCCCTCCACAATATCAAACCAAAGTGCAAGATTCCATAGTACTATAATTGAATTGCGAAATCAGTGTGATTAACTATACTCATTGATTAACTATACCCCTGAAAGAAGGTAAGATTCGATTGACCCCGAAATCCGGCATGATGACATACAATAGTTTTCAAGATGAATTTTGAGGTCAGTTAACGTTTCTTTTGTGTGTGTATTTTGAGAAGGGTTGGTACCTACTAGATGACTTGTACTTCGGCAGAGCTATTACAATAATTCAGCATAATCAACCAGATCAGGGTAGAAATTTGGAATTGTGATGGGGCAATTTATTTAACTATAGGTTTATGGATCCAAGTCAAGACCTACTTTATTCTGGTTATGTTATGTTTTTAGATAACCTTGACCAATGTTAACTAAAAGCTGAGGTTAAAATAGATTTTAGATAACCTTGACCAATGTTAATACAAAGCTGAGGTTAAAAGAGACCATATAGTAGCATTCAAACTGTAAGGCAAATGCAGCAGCAAATATGTCTTATGAAGAAAGTTCTTAAAAGGCAGACAAAACACAAACATCGCACCTCACTTGATGAAGATAGCCATCTGTCAGACAAAACAAAGCATGCCCATATCTTTTTATAGTAGTCTGATTCTCCGGTTCGTCAATTACTTGTGCTTGATCAAGCTGATGGGAGTGCAAACTTCTGTGATATCTCTCCATCTTCATTCTTCTAGTACTTTGCTGATGTGAGTTTCCCATTTTCTTTTCCTACAGAGTCAGCATACAGGTCAATAATTTTAATACTGTTAAGATGGTGTAGCCTCATAGGTAAACTGGAAAGGATTTTAGCAAAAGACTTGCAGAATTTTTAAAACAAGTGATTATGATCGCACATAAAAGCTATGAAAACTTGGACATGAGGAGCTACAAAAGGCGAGGATGGGTGGAAGGTGGTACTTCAACCAAGTAAATTTGCACACATATATTCCAGGGTTAAGGACTCAAATTGTATCACATTCCGTGAATAACCCTTAACAGATGGGCTCAGAAAGATCCGACTGAAAGACTCTAGTATAGGATCCAGGCTGAACAATTATGCACTGAGATACAAAATGGGAATTTGAGTCAGCAGCACCTGTGTATGCAAGCCTGACAAGCAGCTCACTATGCATGAATATGGCATGTTATTTTTTAAATAAATCGATTCGTAGCTATTAGCTAAGAAATCATACATGTAATTGTAGGGACTTAAAAATAACATGTCTACATTTTTCTTCATAGTCGATGCAATTCAAGTAATTAATTCATTCAAATGTAAGCAGATTAGACTAGCACACATAATAGAATTGCCTTTTATTATAATACTAATACAGAAGTCAGCAGAGCAGTGAAGACTGAAGGAATCAGTAATAGGAGCTGGAAACCTTTGAAAAAGTGAAAACAATCTGCCTTAAAATTTGAATCAACACAATATCTTCATCATTATAATCAAATAAGATACGATGGAGATCCTAAATGACAGAGGTAATCTAAGAGTTGCACAATCCTCACACCCATAAAATGACACTTCCTAATCAGCAGTAAAAAATCAACTCTAACCTCGAGGCTTTAGACTTTTCTAGAGCGGCTATGACACTAAGCTTGAACAATGGCAGTCCCTCCACCCATGATGGAAAAGATATACCTGGGTAATTGTACAGTCTAGAATCAATATAATAATAGGATTTATTGAAACAATTGACAAACACTAGCTATTTTGTTCAACCTCTTATTTAGTTATTTACCCTTATGCAAAAATTTTTATTATTATACTAGTAATGCAATGATGCTAGAATGCAAGGCTAATAATAGTAAGCAGAATATTCAAGCACATTACCTGTCTGCAAGTCTCCAAAAAGCTCATGCAAAGCAGACCACATGGCCTCTGTGCAGAATATAGGTATGTCTGACGGCTAAGAAATTGAAGTCTTGGATGACTGGTAACTTGGTTTGAAATTTGCGTTCATGAGAAAATCAAGAGTCATTCTATCTGGACTAAGACCTCTCTCAAGCATTTCATCGTACATTTTGAAAGCTTCAGGCAAATTACCCTCTTTAAAATACCCAGCAACCAAAGCATTATACATAAGGGAGTTAGGAGTCGCTCCCTTTTCTTCCATCTCTTTGAAAAATTCATGTGCATTTTCCAGCTTGCCTTTCTTACACAGGCCATTCACCAAAACTGTGTAAGTGATTTCATCAGGCACGATGCCTTCTGCTACCATCTCAGCATAGAATTCTAAAGCTGATTGCAGTTTATCTTCCTTCAGAAGTCCATCTATTAAAGAGGTGTATGTTTTCAAATCACAAAATATCCCTTGATCAGTCAATTTCTTATGGAATGAGAGAGCCGCTTCAATGTTATTTACATTCCTATAACCACTGATCATGGAGTTATAAATATATATGTTTGGAGACAACCCTGCTTCACACAATTCATCAAAAAGTTTACACGCACTCTTCATGTCCCTTCTTTTGCAAAAAGCGTCAATAAGTGTGCCATATGCGGTAATATCCAATTTAAGACCCTTGCTTATCATCTCATTGAGCATTTTCAAAGCAAGATCAAAATTATTGCTCTTGCAACATGCATTAATTAGAATTGTGTATGTGAAAACAGTAGGGTAGACTCCTTTCTCACTCATCTCATTATACACAGAAAATGCAGAATCCAGATCACCTTCCTTCAATAATCCATCAATAACCATATTGTAAGTCATGCAAGATGGTATGAAATTATCTTTCTTTATAAAATTCTCTAGTAGATTCCTCGCATATGATGTTTGCCCATGTTTGCACAATCCATCAATAACAGTATTGTAAGTGTAATCTGTACTATCAATCCTTAGGTCCACCCTCTCATCAAACAACTTCAGAGCTTTCTCTACCTCGCCTTTCTTGAAATACCTGCTTACTAATACTGTTAAGGTGATAGCATTGGGTTTCACACCCTTAGCAATCATCTCAACATACATGCTATGTGCCATAGCGACGTTTCCTATCTTACAATAACCATAAATTAGGTTGTTATAATTAACTACATTAGGTCTGATTCCACATCTTATCATCTTATCCCAAATCTTTTGAGCTTCATCCACCTTGCCATCTCTACAAAGCCAAGATACTAATATGTTATATGTGGATCCATCAGCCAAACCAGATTCAGCCGCCTTGTTAATCATCTCATAGGCTTTCTCCAATAACCGACCTTTCAGAAACCCTTTAATCATTGAATTAATATTATAAACACTGGGTTTGATACCCTTTTCAGTCATTTGATCAAAAAGCTCAGATGCTTTCTCCATATCCCCCTTCATACAACATCCATCAATTATAACTGAATAAGTGGCTAAATTTGGTGTAAGTTCATGCTCAGCTAATTCAGCAAACAGACCTAAAGCACTCTCCAATTCACCCGATAAACAATACCCCTTTATCAAGTTCATAGCAACCACCAAATTCATCGGTTTCCCATCAGACATCATTTCATCTTTCAGTCTCAAAGCTTCCATCAAATTCTGCTGCTTCACACACGCGATAATAGCTTGGTTGTAGGTACCGGCAGAGGGCACAAAACCTTTCTCTTTCATCTCCATCAACAACTCACAGGCTGCATTACAATCAGGTTTCTTACTAACAACTCCAACAGCACAACTAAGCACGCCTGGTTCTAATTCAACCCCCTGATCCTTCGCTAACCTAAAATATCGCTCCGCCTCACTCAGCTCCCCATCTTTCAAGCAAGCCCTCATCATCAAACGAACAGTAGCACTATTCCCAACAAAACCTCTACAACACACCTTATCATACAACTCCCTAGCTTCTTTAATCATATTCTTTTGAAACACTAACACTTGAATAATATCATTCACATATGACACCCACACATCAATGTTACTATCAAGCATCCAATTAAAACAGCTAATTGCATCATCAAATCTATCAGTTGCAAGATACCCAAATAGCAAGTAATTAAAATCTCGTGAATCTAATTCGAAATCAAACCTTTTGGAGCAATCATTGAGGCCTTGAATCATAGTAGTAGCATCAGGAAATTTCGGGGTTGAAACCAATTCTTTCACCGCTGATTGCTGAAACTTTAAATCCCTCAAATTGTGCAGCAATAAACAGAAGGACTCAACCCCATCACCAAAACCTGGTTGATTTTCAGCCCATTTGAAGTATGACATTGCAGAAGGTTGTTCCTTTGAGCTCAATAATTCATTTGTATCATCAGACTGAGAAATATTTGTGGGGTTTTGATGATTTTGTGAGATGGGTATTTGGGAATTAGCCTCGTTTAAATCATTTGAGATTTGGGATTGGTTTAATGACGAAGATTCTGAGACTGGTACCTGGGAAATTAAGGGTTCTGAAGAAGATAAGAAGCTTGAAGATGAAGATAATGGTTTGTGGGTTATTGAAGAACGCCATAGATTTGATGAAATTTGCAGAGATTTTGCGAAATTTCTCATCTTTTTGCAGGATTTTGAGCAATGGAGGAATTTAGTGGTGTTTAAGAACCCTACTCTTTTATCAGGGAAACAAAATTGAAGCAGTGCTGCTGTAGTGAAAGTTGCGAGTGATGAAAAGTAATGGACCGGGTCTACCCGAAAATGAAGTGATGGACCGATTCTCTTATCCTGCTTCACCTTTTTGGTTTTTATTCTCTTTTTTAATGAGCATATGATACCAGTCGATAGTAAAGATGGTTGTGATTTGTGAGTCGTATATTTTGTCGACTCATCCTAATCAACTACTCAAATATAGCCACTGAACGTGTTGAATTTACATTATTAAAAAATGGCTTAGGCACAACTCAAGTCGACTTATCATCGGGTCATGTAGTATTGTATTTGCATGATTAAGTCAAATTTCACATGTTATAAAATGGTTTATCATGTATAAATGTATCAATGTTGGTCTATGTCTCTTACCAAGCATATCAAAAACAAATGTGGACAACAGGACAAGGCATGGGTCACAACCCGACACGCAATACCATTCCTAACCTAGACTCATGATGTGCCGTGTATTTTTCGTGTTAGGTTATGTTGTTTAGTTCATTTTTTTCTGGTGCAAGTGGCATGTTTAAATGTTTAATACATACCATGAACATCATCTTTCTTTTATAGGGTGAATAACAAAAGGTTTGCACTTCAATAAAAGAAAATAGCACAAATCAGTCATATTAAACAAAGTTCTTTACTTGGGCGCTCCCAATATCAACTAATTTCTGCATTATATTTGTCCATGTAACTTTCTCATCGAAAAGCTTCTAGCGTACCATGAGTCCATGACTACCATCAGTGGCGATTTCAAAAATTGTCCGTTATGGGTTCGGAGTTACTAAACACATATACAGACATATAATAGTAAAATCTATTACAATAGCATAATCTAACATAAAAACTACAAAAAATAATACGGGTGTGCACATGTTGAAGAAAAAATTACAATTGAAGTTGTCAATCATGAAAGTTCTTCAGAGGAGTTGGCAGTATTCTAACTCACTACCTTTGAGTGAGATAAACAAGCTCCTACCGCTGCACTACTGCAATAGATGATGTACATCTACGTGTTTAATTTTATTTAACTACTTTTACTGTTTTATAAATTTTAAAAACTGATCAGTTTTTCTCCAAATCCAGTACTGGAATCGCCACTGACTACCATCCAAATTTGAAAGCCAAAAAATATATAAAAAAAAATAAATCATAATTACTACCTTCGTTTTACCTATATATTATTAATAAGCTAAAGTTATGTACATCTTAAGGTACCATCTGATTCATGGAATCATTTTATATAAGTAGGAATAAGAATAATATGGAGGAATAAAATTTCCAGTCTCACTAAAATCTCTACATATATCTATCTAGTGTCATGTATAGTCTGTAAACTACACTCTGATGATAATAATAACAAAAAAATTGAGCATAAGGCGCTTGGTCTAATAAATAACAAGAACTTTTATGATTTTCTATTTACCTATCTAAAGCGTAAAGACCTATCTATTGCTGCTGAGTTTGATTAGACCAATAATCTTTCTCCCACTTTTCTACCTGTTTCACCGCATCTGTTTTTTTCCTCAGAAAACCTTGAAGAGCAGCTGGGTCATAAGGGGGCGGCATGCTGCATGGAGCTGTATCTGAAGGACCCTTTACCAGAGATTGCATCATAAACTTCTTCTCCGATCCCTCTGCAGGGCACGCCATAGTCTCTGAACAAAGCTCAACAGCATTTTTGGATATTGTGGGCTTGAATTTTAAGAGCTTAGAATATTCAGTAAGCAGATGCAACATGTAATCATATACATAGTCCATCTTCAAATCTTCTAGAATGAAATTGCTGGCGGTCTTCCCAATGGCCTGGGCCTGATAAGTACATGAAAAATCAATTAAACAGATTTCAAGGTTTATACTAATGCATTTTCATCCAAATTCATTGCAGTACATGACAACCCCGCTAAAGACAGACACATTAGTGTTTTTTTGGAGAACATGATATCAGGATTAAGAAAGTACTGAAAGTCTGCTTAAGCAATTAGCAGTCTTTGCACTTAGTTGAATTCTAGTAGTTAATAACAAAAACTGAACTGTTAGTTGAAAGAATTACTCAGATGAGTATTTGTTCCATGTTTAAGGTCTCAGTTTCATCAAGCACTGAAAAATTTCTGAAATTTGTGTAAGATACAATAGTTATGCTCCCTACATCCTAATAAAACAGTTTGAGATTACTTGAAATTTTTTCTGAGAAAACTAATTTACAGAAACCCATTGGAACAAGGAAAATAGATGCTTTAAACAGCATAAGTACACAGATGGAAAAAAAAAAAAAAAAAGTGGGGTTGCTAATGGCCTTTGGTACATCATCTTGCATAGTGTAACAGGTACGTAAAGAGGATATATTGTGATTACAGATTTCCTAGTTAAATTATGAAACATTCTTTCCTATCTTTGTCAGCTCTGGATTTAGGTATCTTAGATGTTTTACGTAAGTCCCAGATCTAGGGGGTAAAGTATATTTCATGTTAAGGCTGTTGTTCAAGGTTCTTTTAATATGCTTGGAGGACACGCACAAATCTCCCCGACTCCACTATCTTTCAATCTAATTACTCTGCTCAACAAGATCCCCCTTGTGCAACATTTCTGATTCCTATCACATAGAGTCATAGAGAGACCAACTCTGCCATTTATATTAAGTTTGAAAGTCCACATCAAAGGCCATGAAATAAATAGAACTTTGTAAAGAAGGTTTACCTTTTGCATGTGATTATTCCCCCATTCAACAGCGAACTTAATAGACCTACACTTGTCGTCCATACTGACAGGCCAATAGTGCTCCAAAGGCATCAAACTTCTCGAGAAGAAGTCATAGTACAATGGCTTCATTATCAAAGCAACAGAATCACATGCAAGGATATACTTCTCGCTGACTGACCATGCTGATCCTTCAATGTAGATCTTGTATCTATTCAAGACATACAAGAAAGATATTCACCAAATTTTAAGATAGTAGGTTCTAGTGAAGCAAGATCATTCTGAGAAACTAGGAAATCGCTCATGAAATATGCATGGCATGTACCTGTCTACGCATTGGCTTGCCAAGTCTGACTGTTTGAATCCTTGTTGTGCTTCTTTATTCCAATCCTGCATTTGTTTTTATGGAATATTGTCAATAGGATATTAATTCCCATCCTGACTGGTTAAGAAGCAAGATTAAAATTCCTATTATCACTTTAGAAAGTTATCCTATGATATAATAATCAAAATTCGCACCAGGCACCAAAAATCGGTAATAACTCAGAGTAATAGCTAGAGTGGATTGTGGAATACTGAAGGAAACTTACAGCTCCTAGAAAGAACAAAAAATTGAAAAATGTTTTACCTGTATATACAAGCGAGCATTCCAGTCCTGCCTGTCAGTGACATTACACTTGAGAAGGTCCATCCTGTGTGGAGCAACAAAGGGATTTCCTTTCCAAAAAGCATAAGGTTCTCTCTCCTTAAACTTCATCCTCTTGTTTCCTTCTTCTAGGTCCATTGATAAAAACTCCCATGGCTTCATTTGAATCTCGGCCCTACGTATACATAATGTTCAGTGCTAAATTTCACATAAAATAATATAGATATGAAATTGTTATTGCAATTCTGGCTACCCAATTTCTTGTGTATCACACAGGGAAACTGGCAGCTGTTATGCTCACATGCGGATTGAAATATTGGTGAAATTAGGATATGGCTAATCAGCTAGTATCGCCCTATAAAAGCATTACTACTAAGTTTCACATGCATCAGTTGATGTTAGAACTGGATTGTATAAGAAAATTCATCATCTATTTAATTTAATTGAAAAATGAACATTGAACCAAATACTAAATGAAGGACCTTAGAGGCAACCTAATTGGCAGTGGCAAAGTGTTGTAAAAGAGTAATGAAAGTAAACATCAATAACAGCATATATTCACCACCTGGAAAGTAATTTCTATATTGAATCGCAAGCTTGTATTATAGCAACATAACAGCTATGCAAAATTTGTAAACTTACCATCCCCAAAAGGACCAATCAGGGAATACGATGTCCCATGTTCTATCATCTCCGCAATAACGAAACAGTGGAGGAGGAGCCCCATTATTGGAATGATGAAAGCGTTTAGCTATTACTGGCCAGTCAACACAGTCAAACATGAGCTCTAAATCTGGCACTCTACCAGGGTACCTCCTTAACAGCTGTAAAATTCCCCAGAGGGTGAAAACATCTCTGGTCTGCCATGAATTTTGATATCTCTCAACATAGGCCTTCCCATTAGATATCACCAATCGAAAATTGGCAGTTCTTTTAGCTGCCTCCACCATATCTCTTGTTATACCGTCCTTCTGCCAAGGCCGAAGATCTTCATATATCCATTGAAAGTATTCAGGGCATGTGGGAGGAGGAGGAGCATCAGGATCCAACTCTAGTTTTTTAGGATAACCTGCAGGGCAGGTTTGTGTCATGTTATCATCAGAACATTGAAGTGGAATTACAATTTTTTTGTGAGCCTTTTTGGGTGTCTCAGAGGTCGTGTTGTTAGAGCTACTTGGAATGACAGTTGAAAAAGCTTGCTGTGTGGATCTTTCAGCATTAGACTGCAATCAAAATCAAGATAAGATACATGTTAACAGTAAAATACATGCAAGGAATCCAATCAATCCAGTCATGTTAAGAGCTCCAATCTTGGCTACTTATAGACTTGCAGTAGAGTGAGTTAATTTGCATTATTCAATTACTTAAATACGTTAAATAGTGTTAGTTTACAAGGACACAAACAAGGGACAATTCTAAATCAGAGCTTACATACATTTGCATTGATTTTGTCGTTTATGTGTATTTCAAACAAGAAGCATGAAACATTGGTCATACAGTACCATGTTCCAAATCTAGAAAGTGTTGACAATAAACAACCCCATGTTAAGTAAAGTTTAAAATACAAATTAATCAGAGTAAAATAAACAGACACTGTTTCAGACATCTTGTTTATTTGCTAATCATGCGTAAACTATTCCATTTTCTCTCAAAAATACGCTGCTAATACTGGAAAATTTCAAGATAATGTCGTTATGTATGAGCTCTAGAGTCAATAATCTGTGC